CAACTTTCCAAGCTGGTTCCTGGGCACGTGGACGCCGAATGACTTCAAACAACAGCACAGCCTTTTCTCTCTGATGCTCAATAATTCAGTTCGGCAGGTGGGAGCATTTTTCTCAGCCACCTGCCTGAGGACTTGCAGACCATCTGTGACAAATGCCATATCCTATCAGGTGCTCTAGACACGCTGGGTGCAGTTCAGCTTGTCCCGGGCCCTCGGGGAGACCAGCCAACTAGAGGCACACCGGAAACGAATCCTTTTGTACATGGAAATACCACCGTTTCTCCTTTGCATACATACGCTGGAGATTTTCATGTTCGGGGGTTACTTGGCAATGAAGTGCAACCAAATTTAAATTCCTGGTTTAGGGGAATGTCTTCAATGGCCCGCTTTTGAATAAAAAGGGGAGTGGACCCCGCGCTTCAGGTCTCCCTGAAGTCCAGGATGGTAAAAGCGTGAGAGGGGAGTTGGGGTAGACACTTTGCTTAGGAGGTGGCTGTGGGCTCCTGTGAAGGGCACCACGGGCATTTGGGTGCCGTGTTAGGGTCCTGTCTTGAGATATTGCCACGTGAAGGGGCCCCCCAAACAGAGGAGGGGCTTCTGGAGGGAGAAGGGGCTTTCTGTGGGTTGGGCTTGGGGGGAGGGAGAGGGAAAACAGCTACGTGTTACTTTGTAGTTCTGTGGAACAGTGTTGTTTCGGAGTGCCGGATTAGAGGTCATTGCAAACTTGTCTAGAAATGAGCATTGTTTTAGTCCCTGGAGAGTAGATATAAACGGGCATTCTTGCTCGCCTGTAGGTAACGTCCAGCCTGTGTCAGGGCGGTGTTGGGATGCGCCTCTCAGCCTGGTGGTCCAGACAGGGCCTGGTTCTTTACATTTCCTTCTGCGAACGTGAGCCCGTGTTGGCATTATTCGTCCTGCCTCTGTCAGGCCCTGTCCTTGGGTGGTGATGCCCGAGACTCCCTCCTTCCCGGGAGCTGTGCAGCTGAATAGTCAGGGGCGAGGGGCGGTGGGGCTGGGGTTCCTGGACAATGGAACTGTTCAGACACAGCACAATTGGACGTTCCCCCCTTTCCCTGATTCCTGGAAGTCCCTTCGTGTTTTGTGATAAATGAGGTCCGGTGGGTTCTGCAGCTGAAAAAGCTATGGATTCCGATCCCAGCCCCATGGACGTCAGAGCTTGGCCCATTCAGGCCTTCCCCCGCCTTGCAATGCGAGTCATCTAGGGCGATGTCAACTGCTATTTATAAAGCCATCTTCTGTGTACTGGTAACAGCGTGAGTCCCCAGACTCTCAGAAATAGAGAATTGGCTTGATTGGAAAAGGGGGTTTGGGGTTATTCTCTCATCATCAGAAGCCACTCGGATGACTTGGAGTAGCTCCGTGAAGATACCACCACAGGGTCAGTCCAAATGGCCAGTGGCTTTCAGTCGCCATCTCTCCCATGAAGTGGCTCCTGGTGATGAGGCATTTCTGTAATGGCCGCTTCCACGGATGATCAGCTGTGCTGTTGGCTACTAAAGTCAGTGGACTCTGTCTTCTGTAGAGACCAAGGAGTGCTGCCAGTTGCCTTTCAGAACCGGTGCGGCGTAAGGGTGTTTTTTATGGGATGTCAGTTATACAACCGATAAGATGTTCACTACCAAAAATTCAAATAACACAAATGCATGAGTAAGGGAGCAGCGAGGGAAATGGACTTGGCTTCCCCACAGAGCAGCATCCGGCTGAAGTCACCGTGAGCAGGTGGCCTGGAGCGCCCAGCTTCAGTCCTCTCCTGAGGCCACTGTCCTCAGGTGCTCATTCCAGGTGGATTCCAGATGGATTTCAACAAGGTTGGGAAGCCACGAGGCCATTTTTAAAATCCTTGGAAGGTGGACAGAGGGAGGTGGGATGGTTGATTCAAATGTGAGGGGGAGGGGCTGTTGGCCACCAAGCCCACCTTAAAGCAGTGGTGACCTTGCCCACTCACGTCAGTTGGGGAGCTTAGAAAACCCCGCTGCCAGGCTATCCCAGACCAATTCAGCCAGGATTTCTGGAAGAGGGCCCCAGGCATCAGCATGTTTCAAAGCCCTCCACGCCACCACCAGGGGCTTGTCACTGGTTCAGCCTGGTCTCACTTTCAGTCCCAGCCTGGCTGAGGATCAAGGTGGTTTCTCTCAGGAGCTCAAGGAGCATATGACCTGAAGGGGCTACCATTTCATGCTTGAAAGCTGATCTGGGGAGTATTGTTAGGGAACTGAATAGTGTCTGCATGTTGATGTTTTTCCTTGGAAGTCTCCTTGTCTGTCCAGATGGAGAGTTTCCGCTTTGAAGATACCCCTCCCGCCTCCCAGGAGCACAGGGGCGACCGGCCTTCCTCAGAGTTTGAGTCATCCCAGGGGAGGCTTCTTCACCACCGAGCAATGCAATACTTGTAACTTGTGTAAATAGCCCCATCTTCCGGAGTGATGTCATTTCTACATTTGATATGCTTGTATCTCTGTAGGATGTATATAGTGTAGGGGATTTTTTGTTTGTTTGATTTTGTTTTTTAGAAAAGTCAACAAGTCTGTTTTTATTTATTGCTTGAAAAAGATCATTTGACAAAAAAATAAATGCATTTTCAACCACCTTTGGCTCAGGTTATCCTTTCCTTGGAAACTGCTGCTATGATGACTTGGCAGGGGAAGAAAGATTTGGGCTATTTAATACTCTTGTGCACTTGGCAATATCTACCGTGGAGCCTGGCTCAGCGAGCCCACTTCTGCTCTCTGACCACCACTCAAGGATGGTGACAGGAGAAGACCAATAGAAATCTCCCACAATCTGATTTCTCTAGGCAGAGAGACCGCCAAGAATTGAATGATAAGAGACAGGGAGTGTCTTCCATCTGAGAAGGTACTTTGTGCCCTGCACAGGATGGCGCGATAAGGATGGCTCCTCAATGGCAGACGTCAACCTTAAACAGCCCAAGCACCAGTGATTAGGGCTGTGACAAGAACGTAGAAGGCAGTCGCACTGCTGGGACACCCCTCCCCACAGATAACATTCCCATGCTGACTCTGTGTCACCACTTTGGTCAGTTGTATACGGCTTAAATTTAGTAAACTTACTAAAAATCACTGAATCGCTTCAAATGGGTAAATTTTATGGGATGTAAATTATACACCAATAAGATGGTCACTACCAAAAATTCAAATGCAAATAAAATGAGTAAAAAGTGAAAGTTCCTCCGCCATATCCCCACCTTACATCCCACTCCTTTTATTTTTATAACCGAAAGGAACATTTGGTGTAATTACTGAGACATTTATTTATGCATTTTATAGTTATGTGTCTGACAGGATACTATTCGAGGCATCAGCCAGGATCTTTCCCCTTGGGTGTTCCCTGCCCTCAGTCTGATCAGCCATTTACTCTTACTGCCCCACGCCAGGGCGCTGGAGAACACAGACATGGAAGACTCATCCTGTCTCTTGTGCTGCCAAGGCACAAAGCAATAGAGTTGGGCAAAGGTGCTTGCTCAGTCAGACCCTGCTGCGCAGGTGACGGCGGTGCACACACGCACGCACGGGAATCCCAGCCGGCTTTCCCATTTCAGGATGCACAGCTGGCCCGTGTCTCACACAGTTCTGCTTCACCCTTTTTAATGGCTGCATAATATTTGATAATGTGGATCAATTACTTATAAGTAGCAAAAAATTTTCACTTTTTATTTCTTTTTTAGCTTAAGAATTATATAGGGCAGAATTTTAACCATTTTCATCTCATGGCATACCAAAATATATATTTGTTGCTGATCTGACAAAAAAAGTATAATTTATATACATATATATTTTTGTTGATTTCAGAGAAGGGAGAGGGAGAGAGCTAGAAACATGAATGATGAGAGAGAATCATTGATCAGCTGCCTCCTGCACGCCCCCCACTGGGGATCTGAGCCCACAACCCGGGCATGTGCCCTGACCAGGAATTGAACCATGACCTCCTGTTTCATAGGTTGACGCTCAACCACTGAGCCACGGCAGCCGATTTCCACATCTTTTCCTGGCTTGATAGCTCATTGCTTTTTAGACTGAATATTATTATTCCACTGTGTGGATGCAGCAGTTTATTTTTTAACCTAATGAAGGAAAGGACTCTTGGTTGCTTCCAAGTTTTGGCAATTATAAGTAAGGCTGCTATAAACATTTGTGAACACACGTTTTCAAATATCGAGAAGCATGCTTGCTAGATTGTATAGCAAGAATATGTTTAGTTTTGTAAGAAACTATCAAACTGTCTTCCAAAGTGGCTGTACCATTGTGCATTCCCACCAGCAATGAATGACAGTTCTCACTGCTCTACATCCTCACCAGCACTTGGTGGCGTCCATCTTCCACAGTTTGGTCCTAATAGGCGTGTACTGGCAGCTCATTGTTTTAATTTGCATTTCTCTGATGACATGATATTAAATATCTTTTCATTTGCTATTCACCACCTGTTTATTTTCTTTGGTGAGGTGTCCATGTTTGGGGCTATTTTTCACTTGGGTTGTTCATTTTCTTAATACTGAATTTTAAAGAGTTCTTTGCATGTCTTGGAGAATAGTTCTCAATCAGATATCTTTTGCAAATATTTTCTCCCAGTATGTGGCTTGTCTTCTCATCCTCTCCCGTCTTTCATAGAAGTTTAATTTCAATGAAGTTCAGCTTATCAATGTCTTCTTTTCACGGCTCATGCCTTTGGTGGTGTGTTTTAAAGTCATTGTGGTGTGGGGTTTCCAGTTCTGCAGCTAAGCAGCTTGCAAGCTGCCCACCCTGTCTTAACATGTACAAGGCTGAACAGACTGAAAAGTCAACTCTCCTCAGATGCATACGAGAGGTAAGGACACAGGGAAAATGATTGTCCCCCAGAAGGAGAGACTGACAGGCGAATACAGAATATAACAATTTACCGGACACGAGACACGAGTGGAAACTGCTGTGGGAACCAGGGCTGGGTAGGAAAAGAAGGCTATACTTAACGAATTGCTGGAGGCTCAGGGTGGACAATTCTGGGAGTTAAAAACTCCAGGGGGACCCAGTCAGAGGGGCCACTGTCATTTTGTGAGATTTATTTCTAGGAGCTCTAACAGATTCCCACAGTAAATACTGGAGAAAAATCTCCTTGTGCTTCTAGCAGGGGGAGAAGAAACTAGTTTGAAATATGCTTGAGCATCGCTCCGCACAAGTCCTGCCCTTAGCTCTATTCATTCTCTTAGTAACTCTACAAAATAGCTGGGGCAACTACGGCACAGGGCGGATGAGGAGCTTCCTAAGGTCACGGGGCCAGTAAGTGGCCGAGCCAGGCTAAGAGCCAGGCAGGCTGATGACGGAGCCAGGCTAAGAACCAGGCAGGCTGATGACGGAGCCGGTGGTCACCCCATACGGTGGTTTGGCAAACCTGCTGCACTAAAGGGACTGTCCCGCCTAAACTTCTTGCTCCACTCCCATTTTCTTCTGGGGCCCCAATAGCATTTGACTGGCATCACCTTGTACATCTTCCAAATACTCCTGTTAAATAACTATTTGGCAGACAGTATTCCTACTTGGTAGACATAAGAGTAGAGACAGAGCCATCACAGAATTTCCTCGGAGTTGTGAAGCAATTTAGTGGCATACGTCATGGTTTCCTGACAGCTTCAGCCCCTACGTATGGCCAATGATTCACATCCATGCTTTGTATCACGTACTCCTGATATGTAAGCAGGATCCGGAAAGTCAAGATGAA